CAGCCGAACCGTGTATTACAATGCCGTTATGTGATGACCTTCAAAGAGAAAAGCAAGCACACTCGGAATAAAGCATTATTTAAAAAAAAAAAAATCGGATTTCACATCAACAGCAAGTCCGGTTAACTATAATGTCCATGCGCAACAATACCCCAACCTATAGATCCGCGTGTGAATAATAATCACCACATTACACACATCCCTTCACATTTTAATTTACATTAAAGTATTTCGTGAGGCCTTCTAAAATGTTTTTAAACATAATTAGGGTTGTAGTTGAAGAGTTTGTAACGGACAACGGCTCGTCCATTAATTCCACATCCACACACATGGATTTGATTTAATACATGAATGTAGCCTTTGTTTCTGCTAAAAGAGGTGTCGACCAGCTGGGGCAACAAGAAAATCGGCGAAATCGAGTGTGACTATTACAAAATAAATAATTATTATATTAATATTGACAATAACAACCGACCGTCAGGGAGCGTTCTCATGGCGTCTATTATCAACGCTATGGGAGGTCTATGAAGGTCTATGGGACGCCCTGCCCGTTGAAAACTGACTCTCAAGGGGTACCCTGTACGTAATATAGTAACGGGGAGGGGCCCTGACCGTCCGTCAATATGTGACGGGTTGGGAGTGAGAACGTGTTGCTTGTTCTGAAGATATGTATCTTTCTTAGGCTCGCCGTTTTTCTTTTTCACTCTACAGTCAAAACAGATCGATTGTTTTTTCTCTCAATAATTGCGATTGTTATTAAAGTCAGAGAATTTGAACTGTAAGTGATAATGTGCGGAAAACCAGTCATTATAGCCAAATGTATATTATACTCCTTTTTAGTTTTGTGGAGGGCAAGGAACTTTTCATTCATGATGGCTGACCCGTTCTCTTTTCTTTTTCATAACCGAGGACAGATCAGCCATCATGAAAAAGGAGTATTCAAATAGTATTTCATGGTATTGTCTGATTGAGGTGTTTATTTGGCCACAGCTGATGTTAAATTGACTGGAATTTTTTTCTGCAGATTGATACAGTATGACTTCACATGGTCCCTCGATCAGAACATCCTTAGCAACGGTGTGATATCGTGAAAGAGCAGACCACTGAATGTCCAAATTTGGCAATCAGAATCGGATATTCAACTGAGCCGTCTTATAATGATGGATAATATTCCTCATCTGACCTTGTTCAGCCATCACTTAATAATTTTAGCATTACAGTGCCACCGTTTTGTTATATAACCATTCCAAATAAGAATCACTCATTCTCTGTTTAACGGGGGATGAACTGACACTACAGAGAGCAATCAGCTGGCTCCAGATGTGTGTGTGTGTGTATGTGTGTGTGTGTGTTTGTGGTCTTGGGACCTTAGAGTTTCCACAGTGTCAATATGATCGCTGTTTACTATGGCTACAGATAGCACAGCACTGATTATAATTGCTAGTTGAGATGCGGAGATGGCCTCCTCTCAGTTTTCACCGCTTGTTGTCCACATTATACATTCTGGAAAGAAATACGAGGAGATGACATGTGAATAGAAACCAGCGTTATTGGAAAACAAACAGGTGAGAAGAAAAATACTGGATGAATTTATCATTGTTAGAAAACATAACTTGAAAAAACGATTTCATTCACAAACATTGGAAATACATACTTGGGTTTTATGTTCAATGGTTTAAAATTCAGTTCTGCTACTTTGCTCAACAACTTGTTGCTCTCCAAAAAGATTGTTATTTGCCATGTCCTCAACAGCAGGGATGGCAATTATTAATATGGGTCAATAAACTAATTGAGTCATAAATTAGGATTAGATAATAACTATATTGATCCATTTAGGAAAATTCTAAATGTTAAACAGCAAACTGAATAAACTTGAAGAGAATAGGACAGGTTGAGTACTTACTAGTGAAAGTGATATACTAGACAATCAATGTAAAACTTTGATTAATAACTGAATAACTGAAAGGAAAATGCATAACGTCAATAGCTGGTAAAGGTTGGTGGATTATTGAGTTCTGTATAGTACAAGGTCCCCTCCCCCCTCCTCTCTTCTGGTTGGCGCTGGTGTGTTTAGATATATTTAGTCAGAGCTGGCAGCACAGCTACATGAGTTTGCTAGTCTGTACTGGCTGTAGTAATCTGAGTGTGTTTTCCTGGAGTAACACAGAGGGCTATCTTTGGCTGACTGTCACAGGGTTTTTCTCCACTTGAAAAGTTGTTGCGCTGACGGAGAGGAACAGTGAAAAAGAAACAATGGTACACAACCACATTCACTTTGGTTTTAAATCTGTCACCAAGAGTTTTGGATTTGCTTTGCAGAACAATGTGGGAAACCTCAATTGATTCTGACCCATTACACAAATATATTGTTATGCACTGTGAAACAAACACACAAATGTTTGCATGTTAAAATATAGATCACGCTGAGTAGGGTTGCACAATTTGAAAACATGAATAATGACTTAATAATATTATAACAGTGTTATTTTTTTGTAAGAAGATCTGAACCAAACAAATATGTTTAGTATAGTCTGGGTTTTAATATATGAATAAAGGCCATGTTTCGATGACATTTTGATTTGGTTAATTGTGCAGCCTTAACGTTGAGGTAGGAGGCTTTTCTGAAATGTGAACGCTTTGTGAGATTCACTGTAGTTATAAAAGTATTTTCCAAAAGCATGTATACAGTAGGTGTGTTGCAATCTTGTGTTTCTGAAGTTGAATCTTACCCTCAGAAACCAATAACATATTTGTTTACATGGAATTGCAATATCTCCTTAAATCTGGTTAAATTGGTCGAACCCTAACCCTAACTCTAACCCTAATCCTCACCACGATAGAAAAAGCTCTTGACTCACTGTTTCCTCTTTCCTCTCTCTACAGGTCCAGAGTGGTACTTGGTCAGAGTGGAGCTGACAGTGACAGATGTAAATGATAATATCCCAGAATGGAGCATGATTCCGGCTCCATACCTGGCGGTGGTCTCCTCCGACGCCCCCGCAGGCTCGCTGGTCTACAAGCTGCACGCTCAGGACGGGGATGAAGGGAACAACGGGGAGGTGGAGTACTTCATGTCTGATGGTGGGTCATTTTCTGCTCTTCCCCTGCATGCCCAATCATTTAACAAGCGTTTTCTTAACTCCTTACTTTGGCAGTACAAAAGGATGGTGTCGCATGCCATACCAAGAACTTTAAATACCCTCCTATCACATATCTTTTTTTGCTAAGTCAAGAATTGTTCAGACATTCTGTGACAAAAAAAACCCTATGTAAATATTAAGCTTCAAGATCTCAGCCTCTATGATATAAGCGATTTCTTTTCTTAAGTACACTTGCTTCCATAACAATTTACCGGTGGTAAAGATCATTACATTTATACCTTTCATGGATATTTACTATGGATGTTCCAATTTAAAAATGAGTCTGAATGAAATCAATAGTTTGCTTAGTTTTGGAATAGTGTTTCATCGTTGGTGTACAGAAGTAATCCATGTATCACTGTCAACACTGTTCATACAAATGTGTCATAATGCAGAATCAAGTTCATAATAAATATACACATAATCAAACATCGACACATACAGTACAGTATATAACCCAAGGGCAAAATAAACTAACACAATATCTCTCTACAGCAAAGTATAGAGAGGGCAGAGCTTAATGAGATACTAATATAAGCTATTAAAAGAAAAGTGAGATGAAATAACACAGCTGGAAATGTATAGTACAAATCTAGCAGGAGCAACTGCAACAGGCTGCATGCATGGTTGGCGCAATGGTTGTTGGTTTAATCATTTTGTGCCTGAATCTCAGTTTACACTTCATTACATCTACAAAGGTTTGGATAAAAGTCATATCATGCCCTGTTATGTTACATACAGTTCATTAATTTTAACATCACAGTCTCGCTGTTCTTTGTATTTCACATTTCAACAACTTGGCTGTCCGGTCATATAAAGCGCTTAATTGGCACTTGCCCAGCATGAATTTACAATATTTTTGACAGCTTCTGAGGCAACAGATTTGAAACAGAGTCTCGCCTTTAGTCCTCTTGCACTGCTGGACTCTGAGATGAAACCTGAGCAGTCTGTTATGCTTCCACAGGGCCATTATGTGCTATTCTTTCATTTTTGCTAAAAAACCTCCTTGGTTTGGAACCACAGAAAGAAGTCCGAAAGGAAAAGATCACGTTCTTCCAAAACTCAACATGTGTCCTGACATGACTCTGTGCATCTGTGTTTTATCTGCTGGTTATTTCGTGAGAAAGGCGCTACTTAGCACCATTCTGCAAATACATGATTTAATTACATGTACAGCTATCTTAAAACATAACCTCAAAATACTTGCCAACTCATTGCTTTTAATATGATACGTATATTAAGAAGACAAAACACATAATAGAATACAACTTTTATTTTGACACAAGTTAAATTAAGAATGCCCAATATTTATATAAACATAAGAAGTTAAATTAACATGTCAAATAAAAGATTAAAAGAACATTACAGTATACAAATATTCACAAAAACATGTGAACGTATTGTCTTTCTTCTATCGCGATTCCATATTTCACTAAATATATCCAAAGTTGCCCTGATCAGTGTTTGGTAGCTGAACTGAAAGCATAGATTTGAAAGTTACCATTTATTTCCGAATGGAAGAAGTTGAACTTCAGCAAATCTGTTATAGGGAGAATGTTTGTTTTTAATTTGCAATTTGTGATTTGCAACGGAAAAAAAAACATTCACTTTGTACATGTGATCTAAGAGTATAAGAACATAGTTACAAAACATTTACATGCCAACATAAAATGCCACCCAAATAAAGCTATACAAAAATATGCCCATTACTTTGCAGGTCATATATAAACAAAATAAAATCAATGCCGATCATTTTTCACCTTTTCTTTTTAAATTAATTTTACCCTTTGATCAACTTGAGCACTGGTCCAAAAATAATGAACCTTTTGTGTAAACTGTTGATTTGACATCATAACAACTCAACCAGTCTTCAACCTGCAGCTCATGGGAGTATGAGCAGCCTGAACAGTTCTCTAAAAAGTAGTCATATCTTTCCCTGTCAGATAAGAATCAAAGAGAGGATGTTTACAGTGGAGAAGCAATGTTAAATGAAAACAGACATAATTCATGTTGTATTGCCTAAAGATAATTGCAGTTTTGGTATTTCATTACACAAATAAATAGTCAAACGGGGACATGCATGTCACTACTCCTCATCACTGCCAATGATTTAGATCATAGCCTTTCTATACAAAGTGTTGAACTTTTAGAAAGCAAACAAACAGTTCTGGAGTTGGAATGTAATGTTATCATCAAACCTATTGCTTCTGTCTGCAGGCGGTGAAGGTCGTTTTGAGGTGGACAGGAAGAACGGCCAGGTGCGGACCACCGGCCTCCCCCTGCAGCGGGACAGGGAGTACCTGCTGACCGTAGTGGCTGCCGACCGGCTGGGGAGCCGCAGTGCCCCTGTGGTGGTCTCTGTGGTGGCGGGGGCCAGGCCCCCCCAGTTCACCAACGCCTCCTTCACCATTGCCATACCTGAAAACACCCCTGAAGGACAGCCGTGAGTTTACAAACACTTGGATACGTGATGTGTTTTAAAAAGCCTGTCCTATCTGTGGCCTCCAGATGATATATTGGGGCCTGAAACACAAAACAAAGATGTTTACATTAATTTCTTCTTTAGATATCTACATAGAGAGGTTCATATAACAGATGTTTATGCATCTGTGCACACATTAAATACACTTGACTATTTTGATCAAGACTTATTTAGGAGTCCGATAAAATGTTGGCTTTGTTGGCCGTCCTTTTAAGAAACAGCTTACAAGGGGGAGTGAGGGCTGATCATGTTCAGCTGTTGGATATTCATTTCTGAAATGTTAGAAGTGTTGGTCTGCTTTCATCAGGCCCCCCACAGATGACATAAAGCATCAAGTCGATTATTTAAAGAGGCCCTATTCTGCTTTTGAGGTTTTCACTTCCCTCGCTGTGTTATATAGATTTCTGTGCATGTACAGTAAATGGTCTGCAAAGGCTAAAATCCCAAAGTTCCCTCCAGAGGGAATTTTTCTTCCACACACTCCCCCCCCTGCCTGAAACACCTCAAGTGTACTCCTTTGTTTCTATAATATAATCAATACACTAAAACGTAGCTAGCTTACCTCAAAGTATCTCTTCAAAATGACCTAGCCACACTCTCTACATCTTCTAGCCACTTGCAAGTCCATTCAATACATTTTCTTTTTTTCTTTTAGAACATAGGGTCAACTTGGCACTAATGACTGTTAGCATTATTGGGAAACGTACTGGGTAACGTTGCAGATCTCCAGTGAGAAACTTAAACCTGCCTTTGAGCTTCAACAAAGTCTTTATTGACACGTATCAATAGAGGTAAGAGTCTAGCATAGTCCAATGGCTGTTGAAACAACATTCCTAAAATGTGTGTATACCCAGCTTTAGACATGACATGATTGATCTCCACTCAGATGAACATTAGTCTCACATGGCTGGATGAATAATCAGATGAATCCATCACAGAAATTTGATGTGCACACATCATATTTCTTTCTTTTTCTGGAGGTGCTAACATATCTTCATATTTCACAGACTGCTGAATAGATGATATTCAGCACACGAGTAAAAACATTGCCTTCGAAACTTGATTTACACACACACACACACAGTGTTGAATTAATGCAGTGGTTTCGTGATGAATGTAACGCGTAGTGTATCAGTGTGATAAACGTGCGCTTGTGCATGAATGCCTTTACACTTTAAACTGTGTATGCCTGCATATCTTACACGCACGCACGCACGCACGCACGCACGCACGCACGCACGCACGCACGCACACACACACACACACACACACACACACACACACACACACACACACACACACACACACACACACACACACACACACACACACACGAGTAGTGTCCTTGGATTGGTCTCATTATCTGCCTCCAGCTGCTTTTATGTGACTGACACATTTGGCAAACTACTAAAGTGGATATTCCAGTAGGTTGTTTACACAGACTTCATCAGGGGAATGGTGTAAGGGTTAGAAAGCACGTCTCATAAATAACAAGCAACGACTACTACTCAGCATCTTACACCTGTACTCTGCTGGTGGACATACTGTACAGATAAGTACTTTACTGTACTACACTCTTCAGGTCACTTAGCTCTCAGATATTTAAATATAATCTATCCTTCTCTCCTCTAATGACCTTTAAGACTTTGCCACATTTGGATCATGTGTTAATTAGAAGTGGTAATGCAGGATATGATCAAAGTTTGGCATTATTTAACAATTATGCTGTACAAATGAATATTTATTTTAAACCTGATGCAATGTTTAGTTAAATAGGATTTGTTACAATCTCAGATCCTTTACTGAGGTTAAGATAGTAAAATAACGAAAAAATATTATTATTATAACAATATATTATTAATTACAATGCTTGAAAATGCACGGTCCACCAATGGTTGCAATGCAATTTGTATCATAAAGGTATAGTTATTGTATTTGATCAATTATTTGTATAAAATAACACTAATATCAGCTCTGCTTGGATCTTCTTTTGAATTTGAGGTACATTTACTTTGCCCTTTATACTCTTTTACAGTCACCAACATTAATTTGTCTATTACAATTCAGTGTACTTCATTCTAATCTATTTATTTTCTTTTAAGGGTACACATATGTACTTTTCTCTTCTGTAGTGAGCTGGCAATTCCCTACTTTGAGGCCATTTCTTCCCACCCAAAAACCTCTGGCTTAAAGTGTAATCATTATCGGCCACTGCCCAGGAGGTGATACAACATGCCAGTACATTTCATTTAGTTGACACACTCCAAAACAACAAAGTGCATTTTACTATGATCTCACAAAATAAAAGATTCTGCAAGAACAGGAACTGTCAATTTAAGTGCAACTGCATCGGCATCATATAAGCCTAACCCGGCACTAAACCAATTAACATGCATGTCTCCTCTCAGAATCGTGGAACGCAACAGCCTGCGTGCACCGCAGCCAACAACTTCCATTAATAATGCAGGACGTGTGTTAAGCTAACCACTGCATAGGAAGTGGATTTTTAGTTACAGGCAATATTGTGATTCACAATAACATTTATGCTTTGCTGCATAAACTTCACATAGTTTTCAGTGTTTGGACTACAAGTTTAACACATCTTAAAAATCTGTAAATAAGGGAAACACCGCCACTAGGGAGGCGTGTGGTGCAGTGGGTTGTGCCTGTGCCTTGGTGTTGGGATCAGGGGAGCACAGGTTCAAACCCCAGTCAGCATGTCGTTGTGTCCCTGAGACACTTCATATAAAAAAAAGCGTCTAACAAATGACATGTAATGTAATCACTGTACACATGCACAACATAAAAATATGAACGTGGAAATGAGCAGAATAGGTCTCTTTTTAATAAGAAGTTGGGGTTATGAGTCGGGAAAAGGTCTATGTGGGTTTGGGTTCAAATCAAGTCCATTCAGATGTACTGTATATACTCTGCTCTTTTCTACCCAACTCTGTTGTGCACACTCAGTCAATTCGCTCTCCATGTGTCCCCAGATTCCTAGTCACCCCTGCTGTGTCCTTCCAGAAGAAACCAATCAGCTACAGCCTTCTCATCAATCCCAGCAGCCTCTTCTCCATCTCAGCAGAGACCGGTGAAATCAGCCTGACCCGTCCTATCGACTACGAGAGCGACCAGCATCGCTACCTTCTGTTGGTGCGAGCCAGCGAGGGCCTGGACAGCATGAGCAGCGCTGCCGAGGTGTGTGTGTGTGTGTGTGTGTGTGTGTGTGTGTGTGTGTGTGTGTGTGTGTGTGTGTGTGTGTGTGTGTGTGTGTGTGTGTGTGTGTGTGTGTGTGTGTGTGTGGTGTGGTGTGTGTGTGTGATGTCACAATTCCACTGTCAAATGTAATGGTCTTTAAACCTCAACGAATGTTGACATTACAAGGTTGTCTCGTCAAGACTAACACAGTCTGTCCAGCGCACTTAAAACAATGTCTGACAAGTCCTCAAATTAAAAGGTTTTCTACTTGTCGTCCGACGTCCTTTTTGCTTGTTCCTCATGAATCACGGCTGACTTTGATCTGCTCCATTTGAAGTTGTTGTCACACACTTCTTGGACAGGTGCAGGAACAGTTGGCTGGGTGACACCTCTTGGACTGTGGTGAGCAGTGGGGATTATGATATATCTCACAGACAATAAAGTAACCACACATGGTCATAAAACCCCCGTCTACTCTGCAAAGCCCTTGAGCTGGACATAGATTTAAGCTGCTGAAATGATGTTAGATTAAATTGTATTGATTTCAAGTTGGTGTACTGACGGTTATAGTTGTAAATGTTGCAGTTAAAATTATCGTTTGGTTTTAGGGCTTGCAGATTGCTGTTTTTTCTGTTTAACGGGAGACATTTTGAACTAATCAATCCTTTAGGACATTTACATGTCCAGTTTTAGTCTCAGAGTGTTGCAGTGTGTTTAAATTGCGAACTTCTGATCTTGTTGTTGAGTACAGTCAACGTATTGCACTCACTGACTGCCATCTTGGCTTTGTAATGGAAGTTTCATGATTGGCTAAAACCCCCAGGAAGTAGGCTGGACATTGGAGCACATTTCCCTTGTGGTCAAATGCTGTTCCCATTTGTTCCCATTGACGTACATTGTAAAAGACTCAATGGCAATCAGCGAATACTTTTTTAGCTAAATCAACTACCTAGTACGGTCACTTCAATAGGCCTTATTTAAAACATTATGGCCTAAAAGTTGTAAAATACGCTAATAGACAAATCCAGAGAGATGAGTGCCCTCCATTCATTTGACTGAGCCGAGATTGTCTGTGACGCTGTATATTGGATGCGGGCTTATGGAAAATGCAAGTGAATGTGCTCTATGGGCCCAGAGACAGGTACGTATACTCTCGAGAGTCAGGCCATTTTAGCTTCATGTGCAGTGAGCAACTTTCATAGGAATGAACGGGGCCTCGCCTCCGATGCCGTATCCAGTTCTCTTTCTTCATCCATGGATTAGCCACAATTCTCTTCTCAGGTTAACACAGCACCAGTGTTGTCACGATACCAACATTTTGGTTTCGATACCGATACCAAGTCAAGAATTGCGATTCCGATTCTTTTTCGATACTTTTTTTAAATTATTTTCATGATCAATAAAATTGTAGTTTATCTGTTAAGTGTTTTCTTACAACATGGTCTCTTCTTTATACTTGAGTTTATGTGATTTCTTTGATAGTTAACTTTATATTTTATTAACATGTAATAGTACAGTAATATAAATAATTATTGACAACATGTATTGTACATTGCAGATGTTAGCCACATTGGTACAGTAAGTTAGCTAGAAAGACTAGACAGTTATCATTGCCATTAATTGCCTCGTCAAACTACGAAAACGTTTGTTTGTCCCAAAATAAATTACACTTGACACTTGTTTCGACTTAGACTTGACGGGCATGGCTTGAGCATGATGGTTATTATGTTATCTATCACAATCAACTAACCTGTCGTCTTTAAATTCTTTAAACAGCTCTGGATGCCGGTCGGCGAGGTGCTTAGCCAAGTTTGATGTGTTGGCTCCCTTGGTTTGCAGGTGTCAGAGATATAGCTCAAATACTTCCACATTTTGCTTCTGGCGTCTTTTTTGTCAACAAGCCGAGGCGCAGCGGCAGTTGCTCTCCCACTTGCAGCCATGCTTCTCGTTTTCTCACATGCTCTGGCAGCTAGCGCGTGAACGAGAGAGGGGAGGCACTTGAGCGTGCACGAGAGGGGAGGGACTGCAGGCACCGCTGCAGTGCAGGGAGTGGAAGCAGAGCGCTGAACACACACGGCTCTTATTAAAACAGCGCTTTCTCACCGGAGTACTTTCACCCGTCATTCTTAAAGTACCGATACTAATTAAATGGAGGAATTGTAACGTTTTTAACGGCAGGGTATCGCGGTACCTTTCAAGTTTCGGTACACCGTACAACACTACACAGCACTATGCAATTAAATATTATAAATTTCGATTTTTTACAATTTTAGTACCACTATACTGTTGCCGTAAAGAAGCCACCATTAAATGTTTAGTCAATTAGGCTATAATGGTTTGGTACTGAGAACGATTGTTGCTAGCTTGTTAGCTAGTGATCGTCACTTCCGGTAAGGGCACTGCTGCTGTGTACGTTTTGAGACGATGCTACATGGTTAGAATCCACCCACTCCAAAAGTGTTCACAGTGCAAGACATGACACTGTAAACACTATAATTGAGACACAGCATAGACATATTGTTTTTAGTCCAACCCAAATAGACTTGTCTGTCTAGAATGACTGCTTTGGAATTCCCAGTGACTTCCTCGTGTTGTCAGGAGGCGTGATAACAGCGGCTGACCGCTGCAGGCATTGATGCATCTGGTCTGGTTTCCATCATTACTCTGGCCTTAGGCGAAAACATGTCCTGCTGAACCAATCTGTCCTCAACTGCTCCACTCTGAGCCCCTGTGGCCTGCAGAGCAACAAGAGCCTGTACAGAGAGAAAGAGAGGGAACATGAGAACATTAGAATGAGTTGAGGATTATGAGATCCAATGGTTAGAAAGAAAGAATAAATGGAAAGGAAATAAGAAATGGATTGGTATGGTGTTGTGCTCTGCCCCTGTCTGCCCACACTCCTGCCCTGGCTTGCCCTCTGAAGCCGGGTTAAGCTTTTGAACATCCTCATATACAGTCCCAGCAGCGCTGCTAAAGCCAGCACCTTTTTGACACTGTAACCTCGCACTGCACCACAGACAACCTGTGCTGTATTCAACTCTGAGCATACTGCCTGTGATGCACATATACTTGATTATATTATGGATTGTAAGACACTTTGATTTTCTTCTTATAGTAAAGGGTGGCTGTGGCTAACGAGGTATGTGGTTTTCTACCAATTGCTCCCGATGCCATGGCAAAAGGTGTGTGTGAGTGTGTGTGAATGTTAGTCTTCCTGAGCAGGTGGCACCTTGTAGACCAAGGCTGTGGTTTGATCCCATACCCCTGAACTCAACGTGTGGATGTGTCCTTATGGGCAAGATACTGAGTTTTGGAATGTAACATCAATTGATTTATTTTTTATTTATTTAACACTCATAATTATTAGTTACTTTTTACATACAAAAACACATAATATGCTGATTCCACATGATGCAGGACATTTTTGTTGACAATATATTGACAACCTTGGTGAACTGCTTTTACATGCTTTTTTTCTGATAAAACAAAATTATATTATATTATACTGTGAAAAGAGCCATGGTGCACACTTGATACTTATGTTACGTATATTTTGCTGATAATACTTCAGGAAAATGTTTAATTCAGTACTTTCTTTTCTTGTAATGGAGTATTTCATGACAATAGTATTTCTACTTTTACTCAAGTGAAGGCTCTAAGTACTTCTTCCATCAATGAAGATACTTAACCCCAAATTGGCCATGGACTTCTATATGTAAAAGTGTCTTGTTGCGTCACTGGAATAGTGCTATATAAATGCAGTCCATTAACCTTTAATGTAGGATTAAACTGGTTTCACATTTATTTATTTTCATATCGCATTTCGTACGAGAAAAACAATTGTCGTAATTCTGTCTCCGACGTTTTACTGGCCAATCCTAGTCACTCTATCAGCAGAGGAACATGTTGTCATGCAGGCCTCTCTTGTTGACAGGGGAAAACCTTTTACAAGCTTTGATGCTCCTGTATGGGCTCTTTCCTGCAGAATTCTGGTCGTTGGAACAATTCAAAGGATAATGGAGGGCTGAAAGGCTACAGCAAATATGAAGTGGTTTATTGTGCATGGTGATGCAACCCTGTCTCCTAAAAATTACGTTCCCACAGAACTAAACTGCATTCTCAATTACCTTTAGCGAGAAACATATTCTCTCCCACCTTACGTTCGTTATAAACGTATCTCAAATACGTTTATTTTCTACATATCTTTGCCATTTATTGTCTTGATTATGATAATGATAGTCATTTATAAATATCATTTTAGAGCAAACATTTGAAATCAGTAGGCGAGGCTGTAATTTTGCCAGATGTTACTCTCAATGACGAGGCAGAAAATAATAGTTTTAACATGCCAAAAAGCTGCTGTGTCGTTTATTGCACCTCAAACATTAAAACAAATCCAGAGTTACGTGTTTCTGTACTTCCTCTAAGAAGAAAGGACAGTAACAGAAGATCTCTGTGGCTTCAGGCTTGATCGCCGTTCAAATGACAGCGTTGGTTTCCCTAAAAGTGGGCGGGGCTGTAAAGTGACGTAGATTTTACTCTCATCTATTATTCAAAACCATTCTATTTATTCTAACGTAAATTACATGCCAGTGTTTTATCTTTTTATTTATTTGTTTATATTTTAAATCGTATAATGTCGGACTTTTTTTGCCGTCTGTGAGGAAAAGAAATGGGGCTCAGAGCCTCAAAATACTGAAATCTGTATTTTTGAAAATCTTTTTTTCCTTCTAATTTGTTATTCTTTTCTAAATAACACACTGTTATTTACTCAACAATTATCCTTGTTTTTATTTATTCATTTAATTCTATAATATTGGGCTTTTTAGCATGCTTTTTAGCCATAAATAAAGTCCCGGAAACAGACGTAGGCCTATAAGGGACATTTCGAGCGATACACATCACAAACCCACTGAACAGATTACCCAAGATCCTTAGCTTGAAGCTCGTTGATTGGATGTTTTAGCCGCAATCCATGTTGGGATATGATGTTAATGCGATATGAT